CCCTCCCTCTCCTTCCCCCCTCCCTCCTCTTCCCTGGGTAAACAAAATGAAGTTCGGAATCAAAGCCTCAAGGAAACATTGAGCCGTGGGTATTTAAGGAGCAAAAAGCTAGTCGAAGAATAATTGTCCACGGGGGTGGGGGTGGGGGAACACTTGAGTAAAACGTAGTTTGCCAAATTACTCCCACACAAAAGATTCTTAAAAATAATTTTAGTTTTCGTCTTAAACACTTACTGAATGGGAACCGCATGTGGACACTTTGTTTATACGCGGTCAGGGGACATCTTTGGTTGTTTTTACTGTTGGGTTCAGTGAAGTGACTTTGCCAGTCGACTTTGAGGAACCCAGAGGGTAGGTTTGTGGTACTCTCTGAGGATCACAGGTTACTCTGCTGAATTAGCATACCCTTCAAAAGACAGCAGCTGCCTCTAGGATTTCTGTGTGCGAGCTTCTGCTCTTTGTTGGTGGGATGAGTACACCCTGGCAGCAACACTTCTTTTCCCAACTGGAATCTATAGCATATTGGGGAGTTTAAAAGAGGAATAGTGTTAGATTGAAAAATGAGTCCATTCATTTTGGGGACAAGTATCTTCTGAATTTCAATTGGGATTTTTTTTAAAGCTATTTTATGAGCATGATATTTATGTTATTTATATCAGCTTCTCAAAGATTTTGTAAATATTAAGTTACTAAGCAAGAAGACTGGAGACTGTCACTTTAAACACCAGTATTCTGTTGTTGTATACCATTTTCAAATTTATAATATGAATACCCAACCCAGTATAATTTGAAATGTTCATGTCTACATACATTAATTGTATTCACTTGCTGTAGTTCTTTAAGTTGTTATTTTAGTGATAGAAGATTTAAAACAGAAGATGCAGTATTTATTTAGGCCAACTGAAGTAGGTAGAATTGTACATTAAACAGCATTCAAAGTTTGACAGCATTCACGCCCTCATTAGTTAGAGATGGCCATTGTGATGCATATCCTTTCTTCTCCCCTGTCTGCTTGAAAGTAATATTTCACTTCATTCTTTACAGCAGTTCTTGAAACTACCATCAGATTTTTAGTGGCAGAGAGTAGCAAGTCCTCTAATGCCTGGTTAGGAGGGAAAAATTTCCCAAGCATATGGAATCATCTCAAAAAAGATGTGCATGTCAGCTGTGATTCCATTGTGTTCTCCCAGACTGGGTTTGAGCCTTCTTCCTCTTGGGAATTTTCATGTTAAAAGAGATTTCTTTGATGTCAAAGCATTTAACACAGCATATAGAAGAGAACTTAGCAATTATGAACTGATAGTTTTTTGGGTAGTCAATATTTTGTGTTTTGTTGAACCTTTATTTGATCAAATATAATTTAGGTATCAGTATTAGAAAGTATTGTATTGGCATGTTAAAGGTGTTGGGTTTTGGTTTGAGTGGAGAGAGGGGTAATGTTCTGTAGTTGGCTTTTTCTATAGTTTTGTCTTGTTGAAGCTGTCCAAATTTCTGTGAGCAAGTTTCCATTACTCATCCTCTATACTTAAGGGTTCAGTACTTAGCTAGTCCAAAGCACATCAGATTGAAATGGGATCCATAAGTTGATAGCTTGACTTTCTAAGAAAAAAATTCTGTTGTATGGATTTAAAGCCAGTTATTTTAAGTTGTCCTTATGATGTTGAGTAGAAACAAAAAGAGTGGTCTCTCTATGCAATTTTTCTATAAGATTAATACGCAAACCGGTCTTTATTTTGATCATTATTGTGCCATGATTGAAATTCTATTTAAAATCTTTATCACAAAACTACTATTTAAGAAATTATTCTTTTTTTTTTTAGTATTTTGTGTTTATAGTTTTGTTTGGCACTATGTTATTAAGTGCTTTATTACTTTTAAATGAAGAGAACTAGAGGGAGAAAGTAAGTCATTGTTTTAAGATACTAATCTTTTAGTGCAGTAAATCATAAAATTAGCTATCAGGGACTTTTACAAAATCCTATTGAAATAATACTATATTTACATTGATATATTTACTACACTTACATACAATAACAGGAAAAGAATCCCCCCCCTTGCCTTTTCCTCTCAACTTCATTTTAACTTCTGTGCCTTGTTTTAGAAAAGACATTCTTAGTATTTGTTTTTCATTTTTAAAGACTTCTAGACTGGCTTAAGAATTGCATGGAACAGCATGCACATTACTCAATTAAGACAACATAAGCACATACTTTATAAATAATTTCTAGATAGAGGTGAGGAGATAACGTCTGTATTTTAGAAGATTGCGTAGTTATCCTAGTGGTTGTAAACTGATTATGAAAAGAAGTGAAAACCTTACAAAGGTAAACTGCTTTGAAGGTCATTGGAATTAAAAGTCTAGATGTTTGCTCATAGAAAAGAATACTTTTGGCTTTTAGGGCAAAGATTTTATGTGTTTACCCATGAAAATGGTGATTATTGACCACATTTCTGGCTTCTTTTGGCTGTGATGACATAATGCAATTGTGGAAATGTTGATTCTTGGACAACGTTCAGTTAGTTCTCTGA